CGAGCCATTCCTGCCTGGTGGTGTGGGCATCCAGTGGCCGAGGCTGGTGACAAACCTGTAAACAATGAACCTGAGCACTTGTGCATGGTGGGCACCTGGCAGGGGCCATCCGAGGATGCACTGTCGGGCAGGTCCTCTGGGGAGGCGACCCCACAGCTGAGACTAGGGGAAGCGGAGCATGTGCCAGGTGGAGTAGGGGTGGGGAAGGCTTGGGGGCCCATGGCCTGAAGTCTAGGCTTAGTGTAAAACAAGAAAGTGTGATGTGACCCGGTTTATGCCCTGACAAGCCTCTCCACCTTTCTATCCAAGCTAATGAGCCAGAGCAGAAATGGGCAAAACCTGTTGGATGTCCCTCAGCCAGCCAGGCTGGGGCTGCCATGACCGCCAAGGTTTGTCAGCTGTTTCAACCTGCTCTGAGCCCCTCCCTGCCTGTCTCCAGGTAATAACCACTGACCGGAGCAGGACACAAAGACGGTCAGCCCAGGCTGCAAGAGGGCCTCAAAGGGAGGCTCTTGGTGATGTATGCAATGGAGGCTGCTGGGAAGACAGCTCTTCTGTTGTGAATGGCCTCTTGGGGTAGATACTGTGAGCTTACGCATCTCATGTCATTAGAAAGCATGGCCATAAATTAGGCTGCTCAGAAGCATGGGGTGTGTAATAATTAAGCAATAAAAGTCACCACAGGGGTAAAGGAACCAGAAAACAAAGAGCCACTGTTTTTAGACGCACTGCAGACTGCTCTGTAAAGAGACCTCTGAGCTTGAGTGGCATTTCAAAGCCGCTGAACCTCTGCTGGAATAGAGACCTGGCTCAGCCCAGCCCCAGGGAGGACTGCACACTGGAGAGTCAGACTACACCCGGAGAATACACGGGGCGTGGGGTAGATGTTTAGGGTACCATCAATTCTATATCCCCTTCTGGGGCCATGAAATCCAAAACCTGGAGGGGCCTCACAGGGAGTGAAGCCAGTCACGTAGAGGGGTGACAGGGAAGGGAGAGGGGTGCGGCAAAGTAACACCTGATGCTTGGCTCCAGCCAGTTGTCGCTTACACAGGCAGATAGGCCACATGGTCAGAACTTGCATATTTTCAAGGCAATCTGGAAAGCTGGGTTTTCATGTAAAATCTCCCACCTTTTTTTTTTAAGATTTTATTTATTTACTCATGAGAGACACAGAGAGAGGCAGAGACACAGGCAGAGGGAGAAGCAGGCTCCCTGAGGGGAGCCCGATGCAGGACTCGATCCAGGACCTCGGAATCAGCCCTGTGCTGAAAGCAGACACTTAACCTCTGAGCCACCCAGAGCCACAGATTTTAGGCGCCTAAAATCTCCCAATTTTTAACTGTTGATGACAGTTTTGAAGTCTCTGAAGACTGCTGTGCAGGCCAAATCAAACAAAGCCAGAGGGGCATCTGGGTGGCTCAGTTGGTTGACTGTCCAACTCTTGATTTTGCTTCAGGTCATGATCTGAGGGTTGTGAGATCAACCCCGTCAGGCTCCATGCTGGGCTTGGAACCCATATAAGATTATCTCTCTTTCTCTTTCTGCCCTTCCTCTCCTAAACACACAGACACACACACACAGACACACACACACACACACACACACTGACACACAAACAGACTTGAGGTTTGCCTTGAGATCCTGGGTAAGGGGGGTGTCTCTTCTTAATACTTTCATTTCTGCATTCCCTGGTCTGTGGGATAAGGTCACTGGGGAAGATTGGAACGTTTCCTGGGAGCACTCGCCTTTCCAGAAGTGCAATGAGAAAAGCTGTGGATCCTCCCCCCCAGACACCAGCTCAGAAATTATTGTCCACAACTTCTTGGGACCTGGGGAGCTAAGACCCCTGGGGCTAAGTCTTAGGCCACAACACTTGTGGGTCCTGGGCCCCAACACCCGTGGCCACTCCAGACCCACCGAACCAGAATGTCCTGTAACAAGATCCCCCCCATGACCCACGCGTGCATGCCAGGTTGCAAAATGCTGCTCTGTGCTTCCTTGGGCTGTAAAAGACTCTGTGATTTCTAGTCTTGGGACCTACAGTAGACGTCATCCATTAAGCAGTTTCTACTGGTGTTTCCCCAAGGTGGGCTGAGGAACCCCTGTGTATCAGTTCCCTGGGGTCCTCTGTAACAAATTACCATGCTCTTGGTGGCTTAAAGCCACAGACACACATTCTCTAATAGTTCTGGAGACTAGAAGCTTGCAAGGTGATGGCAGAGCCATGCTCTCTCTGGAGGGTTTAGTGGAGAAACCCTCCCTACCTCTTCCACCTCCCACCAGCATGTTTGGCTTGTGGCAGCATCACTGTGCTGTCACCTCTGGTTTCCACACGGCCATTTCCTCTTCCCCCCATGCCTCTCTTCGCTGTCTCCCATATGAGGACACTTGTCATTGGAGTTAGGTCCTACCCTAAAAAGCGTTTGCATAATTATTAATCCCATTTCAAGATCCGTAACTGGACTACATCTGCAAAAGCCCCCCCCCTTTTTTTTCAAATAAGGTCATATTCACAGGTTCCAGGGGTTCGGATGGAAACAGCACTTTGAGGGCCACCCTTCAACCCACACACCTGTATCAGAACTACTTCCTATATTTGCTTAGAAAAATGCGATTTCTTGGGCCCCCCACCCACTTCCCAACTCAGAACCTCTGGGGTTGGGCCCAGGTGATTCTTATGCACTCCCCAAAAAATCTGAGACTCTCTGTCCCAAGGAAATAAGGAAATGACCAGCTCAGACATGAGAGGTAGAAAAGCTGGCTGTTCGCCATCAAAAGGAAGGTCAGAAAGACATGATGGGGGGAAAGCAAATGAGCCTGTTTCACTGTTTCTTCTTCTTTTTCTCTTTCTGCTTAGGACGAAAATTTTCAAACGTGCATTAAAGCATAGCAGACAGTATAATAACATGCCCATGATCAACCTCCATCACACAGCTTCAACTGTTATCGATACACTCTGCCATCTGTTTTCACTTTATTTTACTGTATTTTATTTTATTTGGTGGACGTTCCTTCTTAAAGCAAATTGCAAACAACCTATTATCTACCCACAAGCCCTTTTATAAGCATCTCCAGCAGAGACACTTAAATACCGTCCAAACCTCGGCTAGTGTTCACTCAATCCTGGTTGCCAAAAAACAAACCTTCCCACTGATGGTTTGCTGGACTCGGGGTCTGAACAGGTTTGCAGACTACCTGGTGGGTGTGTTCCTTAGGTCTCTGTAATCTACCTCACTTCCTCCTCCTTCGTTTGCTGAAGTGCTTGAGTCACTTGTCCTGAAGAACATCTCACACTCGGGACTTGGCCCTTAGCATCCTCGCGTGAGCGTGTAGCAAGCTCCCCATGCCCTGCGCTCCCTGTGAAGCGTGGCAGGTGGGCCGACAGCTTGCGAGTCCGACACAGGGGCACTAGCCACATGTGGCTCCTGAGCCCTTGCAACATGGCTCAAGCCGCCGAGGAACTAGATTTACCATCTTATTTAATTTTGACTAATTTGAATTCAAACTTTGGAACTGAACCTTTTGAACACCCCATGAATATTTTAAAAGGATTATATGTTGGTGTGATAATATTTTGGATAGATTAGATCAATAAAATATGTTAGTAATGAGAGCGATAAAATATATTAATAAAACTAATCCTTGGGATCCCTGGGTGGCGCAGCGGTTTGGCGCCTGCCTTTGGCCCAGGGCGTGATCCTGGAGACCCGGGATCGAATCCCACGTCGGGCTCCCGGTGTATGGAGCCTGCTTCTCCCTCTGCCTATGTCTCTGCCTCTCTCTCTCTCTCTGTAACTATCATAAACAAATAAAAAAAAAACTAATCCTGCCTGTTTCTTTTTCACATTGCAACTGGAAAAATTCTAGTTTTGTGGTGACTCGCATCATATTTCTGTTTGACAGTGCTTGTCTAGAAGTTTGATTACCTTGAGGGTCACTTTGGTTTCTTTTCCCAAAGAAATGGGTCATGTGGTCCAGCTGCTGCAGGCTGCCCCACCCACTGTAAAGCCCCCACCAGCTCTCCACCTAATGGCGTTAGCAGCCACTGCCGATTATTACCTCAATCCATTCTTTTCTTTTTAAGATTTTATTTATTTACTTATGAGAGACACAGAAAGGCAAAGACATAGGCAGAAGGAGAAGCCAACTCCCTGTGAGGAGCCTGATGTGGGACTCCATCCCAGGACCCCAGGATCAAGCCCTGAGCTGAAGGCAGATGCTCAACCACTGAGCCACCCAGGCGTCCTGATCTCAAACCGTTCTTTCACTGGGAGCAGCATACCAGTGATTCCCTTCCCCTCAGCTCTGTCATTCCTCCTGCAATTATCAGCTCTGGTTCTTCTGTAAAGAACCTGTCCTTGTCACCTATCTGGTTACTCTGGGCTGGTCTCACCTGCCGCCCCCACTGCTCTGGGACAGAGACAATGATGGTACCCGCCTGACAGTGTTGCGAACAGGTGGGGCATGCAACATGCTCTTCACAGGGTAGATGCTCTCCTAGCCCTGAGACCCTTGTCAAGGAGACCCAGAGTCAGAAACTAGAGGCCATAATTATTTTACTCCTGCAAAAGGAGAGAGACTCGGTGGAAAATGGGGCTCCATTGTGTACACAGCACAGGTGGGGACTTACAGCCTGGGAACAGGGGGTGAGGGGTCAGAGAAGGACACACAGAGGCAGGCCGATGCTTGCTGAACGGACCTGATAGGATTCTTGGTAGAGGCAGGCCAAGGTGATCAGATACCGAGGGGGAGATGGGATGGGGGGACTGACCTCACAGACTCTTGATGAAGACTGGCTTCAGCAGACCAAGGACAGGGCCCAAGGACAAGGTCTAGGTGAAAAGACGGCTCCAAGGAACCTGTCTAAAGTCTGATATCAGAGACAGTCTTTGTTACCATCTCCCAGAGCACAGCGCTAAAGGTCAGGTGGGCATCCTTGGTGGAGGGGACACCACTGGCCTTCCAAGACGTCAAGCCTCTGCACTTCCTCCCTGCAGGCCTTCCACCCCTTTCTTTGACCTACTGCAGCACCGCTACCAGGAGCTTTGGGTGCAGGAACAGAAGGCCACCCAGAAAGCCATTAAGCTGGAGAAGAAGCACAAGGTACATGTGTCCTCCACTCCAGAACGGCCGCCCTTTGGGAAGGGAGTGGCAGGAGGGGCTGGCCTGGCAAAGTTTTGAGATAAACATCGGTGCATGATTCTCACTGGGGGGGAATGGGGGTAGGAATCAAGCTACTCCGTGCTGTCTAAAAGGGTCTTGGTGATGATCACACCCAACCACTACTCAAGCCCCAAAAGTGGAAGATTCTGGCCCGGGTCCTGTGTGCCTCTGAGACAGGAGCAAGACCCAGTGTCCAACTCCCACCTGAGGACTCCTTCCATCAAAACTTCACATGAGTTTGCTCATCCAGAAATCTGATTCTAAACTAATCTGACCCAACCTTGACAAAAATATGCCCTGTATCATCTGTAAAGAAAAGGCTAATAAGGCAGGATCACACATTTTGGGGGTGCCTGGGTGGCTCAGTTGGTGAAGTGTCTGCCTTCAGCTCAGGTCATGATCCCAGGGTTCTGGGACCAGCCCTACATCAGGCTTCCTACTCAGCAGGGAGTCTGCTTAAGCTTCTCTTTCTCCCCCTACCCTTGCTCGTGCTTACTCTCTCTCTCTCTCTTTCTCTCTCTCTCTCTCTCTCTCAAATAAAGAAATAAAATCTTAAAAAAAGGGACGCCTGGGTGGCTCAGCAGTTGAGTGTCTGCTTTCAGCTCAGCGCATGATCCTGGGGTCCCAGGATCGAGTCTTGCATCAGGCTCCCTGCAGGGAGCCTGCTTCTCCCTCTGCCTGTGTCTCTGCCTCTCTCTGTGTGTCTCTCATGAATAAATAAATAAAATCTTTAAAAAAATTTAAAAACCACATTCTGTTATACTTTAGGAGTACATTTTGTTTCAAATTAATGATGAGGCCACATACTAAACCCATTCTGTACATCACGTACATCATTTCAGTGATGTTTGACAAAAGCCCCAGGAGTGGGTATTATTCCTGTTTCCTGGGCATGGAAACTGAGCCTCAGAGAGGCAGCACCTGCACAGGGAAATTGAAGCTGAGGACAGAACCATGTCCCCATACTGTCACTTGCTAATTAATGGTGTGAGTTGTAGTCGATCCAAACAGGTGGATGTAGTGCTACACAGATTCCATGAGAAGCATGATTGTAGCATGTCTGGTGGGTGCAGCAATCCAGCCAGGGCTGTCCCTATGTCGTGCTCCATACAGGGAGCTGGGCTGAGCATGCACCCGTGTTCCTGTGCTCTTATTTCCTGAACACCCCAGCAGGCCAAGATCTCATCAGGGCAGGGCGGTTGTTCCGTTTTCATATGGTCAAACTCATGCTCAGAGGGATTAAGTGACTGGCCAAAGGCGTCAGAGCCAGGCCTGGACTCGAGTGTGTGCAGCCCCGAGTCTCCACTCTTCTTCTTCTTTTATTTTAATTTATTTTTAAAAATTTCTTTATTCATGAGAGACAGAGAGAGGCAGAAACACAGGCAGAGGGAGAAGCAGGCTCCACACAAGGAGCCCAATGCGGGACTCGACCCCGGGAATCCAGGATCACACCCTGAGCCAAAGGCAGACGCTCAACCAGTGAGCCACCCAGGTGTCCCATGTCCACTCTTCCTAATGGCAAGGTCCCACTTATGCTGGTTATGGGACAGCCTGGAGTTCAGCAACAGGGCAAAGATGTTCTAGAACAAAACTGGGGAGCGGAAGAGTCTTACCAAGGGTCCTGGCGCCTTCAGGACAGGCCAGGAGTGGCACTGATGGGCACAGGGTGTCAGTCTCCCCAGGCCCATGGCCGGCGGCCAAGGCCCCTCCCGCTGTTCTTGGCATCGATAGAGCGCGAGACACCAGCTCATTAAAAAGCAGAGTGTTGTAATAACATTTTAAAAGCAGCCCATGACTAGTTTATTCGTTAATGGCTCAAGAAAGAGTCAACTTACTATGGTAACGACCAGTTTCAGAGGGAGCACTGCCATTACAAGCTGCTTTATAGCTCCAATTTGGTCGTGTTTTTTAATTAGCGGCAATTTCACGGCAACTCAGAGTGTCGCAAATCCATGGAAAACCGGGCTCCCGAGGACACATCTTCTGACTCTAGAGACAACTGTGGCCAGTGCCCCTCCTTGTTCAGCAGAGCACTCTACTGTGATGTTCCCAAGCACTGGGTGGGAACTGGGGCCAGCTCCAGGGGTGTGACTTCGAGTGAGCCACCAACTTGGGATCTCAGTTCCCTCATTGGGGAAAAAAATGGGTCAGACTAAATGAGGCTCCCCCCCCCATGCTGTCCCCAGCACATAGTAGGCCCTCAGAAACCACTTGTGGAACCAACCCCAGGGTTCTCTTCCTGTTCCAAGATTCTCTGTGGCTGTACATTGTCTAACAAACAGCTAATGAACACCCAGACCCACAAACACTGGGGCTGAGGTTAATAAGATGACTGGTCTACAAGGCCAAGTTGCCACCATCCAAGGGGAAGCCTGTATCTCCAGCTGCTAAGATGTCCTGGGTTTTTGATGGTGATGCCCTCAAGTGAAATTGTGGGCAACAGCTTCCATGTAGTGAGTCATCATCTTGGGTCCTTCCGCTCAAAGCTGAATCCAGCAAATCCTACGGTAACCAACCCTGTCAGGCATCAGTGACCACTTCCAGCAGGGAGCCCCACCTCCATTTAGAAAGGGGAAATGAGGTGTTTGTATCCCTCTGATTCTGAAGGCCAGCTTGGTAACTCCTGGCCAGATAGCATCTCTGGTTTGCAGATAGTTTCCAAACTGTTCTAGGAGACAGAGAAGACAGCTAACCCAAAGGGCTTCTAAGTTATCCAGAGATACATTCAATAAAATTAATTTAGGGACACCTGGGTGACTCAGCGGTTGAGTGTCTGCCTTCAGCTCAGGGCATGATCCCAGGGCCCTGGGATCAAGTCCCGCATCGGGCTCCCTGCATGGAACCTGCTCCTCCCTCTGCCTGTGTCTCTGCCTCTCTCCTTGTGTGTCTTTCATGAATAAATAAATAAAATCTTTAAAAATTAAATTAAATTAAATTAATGTAAATGGGGGTGCCTGGGTGGCTCAGTGGATTAAGCTTCTGCCTTTGGCTCAGGTCATGATCCCAGGGTCCTGGGATCAAGCTCCGAATCAGGCTCTCTGCTCAGCAGGATTCAGTGGGGTGGTGGCATCTTCAGCTACATTTGGGTCAGTTTTTATTGTCAGCTCCTCCTTTTGTGTGTGTCCCGTCACAGCAGCAGCCCTCCTGGGAGAGCGCTGGAAGTTTATCAAGCCCTGCCCTCTGAAGGAGAGACGAAGCACAGCCCCAGTAGAACCCAGGGCAGATACAGATTTTGAGAGACCTGAGACTTCCACACGTTGGAGGTCCTATTTAAGGGGAGGGGGACAGGGGTGCCTGAGTAGCATCTGCCTTTGGCTTAGGTCATGATCCCGGGGTCCTGGGATCAAGCCCCAATGTCTGGCTCCCTGCTCAGCAGAGTCTGCTTCTCTCTCTCCCTCCACCTCTCCCCATGCTTGTGCACTCTCTCGCTCTCTCTCTCAAATAAATAAATAAAATCTTTTCATTTTTTTTCTTTTCTTTTTTAATAAAATTTTTTAAAAAGGGGGGCAGAGTGGGACATACGGGTTCTAGTTATGGAATGAATTAGTCCCAGGGAATAGTCAATGGGACTGTGCCCGTGGCGAGTACCTCATAACCTATAGACTTGTCGAGTCGCTATGTTGTCCACCCGAAACTAATGTAACATAGTGTGTGAGCTATACTTCAATTTAAAAAAAGAAAGGAGGGATCCCTGGGTGGCGCAGCGGTTTGGCGCCTGCCTTTGGCTCAGGGCGCGATCCTGGAGACCCAGGATCGAATCCCATATCGGGTTCCCGGTGCATGGAGCCTGCTTCTCCCTCTGCCTATGTCTCTGCCTCTCTCTCTCTTTCTCTGTGACTATCATAAATAAATAAAAATTAAAAAAAATAAAAAGAAAGGAGAAAGTACATAAAACGTATTACCATTACAAATTTTAGAGAAACAGAGCCCATGAATAGGACCCCTCCAGGACCTTAGGAGGGACCCTGTGCCATGAGGATCCCCCAAAGCTCAAGCTGTATCAGATCATGGGAAATTTACGTCTAGAGCCAAACCAGAAACCAGAGCAACATGCTTGCAACAGCGGGTGGTCCCACGCCTTAGTCCACTGAGCAGTGTGGCCAGGGAAGCAGGTACAGTGAAATCAGACTCAGAGAAGGGCTGGAGCCAGGAGGAATGTGACCCCTGGGTCTGCAGCACCAGGAATCCCAACCCTCTGCCCTCACCTCCCTTCATCATAGCTTGGGCTCCTCCGGGCAGCCAGGAAACCACCTCAGCTCTTCATTTCTCTGGCCTGCAGGTGATCCTGGGGAAGCTGTATGAGACCCGGAGCAGTCAGCTGAGAAAGTACAAGCCACCAGTGAAGCTGGATGCCCTCTGGCATATGCCTCATTTCCAGAAGGTCAGTCTCGCCTCCAAATGCCCCTTCCCACACCTAAGGTGGATGCCTCTCACTTTGCCTGGTCTTTATCTGTTCTCTAGACAGTGAAATTCTGTGGCCTTCTACCCACTGGTTGGCATAATAATAGATACTATATTATTGCTGCAGTATCTTATATTATCTTACTGATTCTTCGTACTTACTGATGTGGGGGCTGCTGCCATCCTCATTCCCCAGATGGGGAGCATGGCCAATGCTGGCTTAAGTGGAGGTCCTTTGCTGAACTTGGGCCACTGACCACAGAGACTGGGTGTCTGTCTACTGCAGTGGACACTGTCTGAGCCAAACCACCCCCCTCCACTGATGGGGTCATGGGTGCACCACATCCCACACTGGGGATTTGACCAGCGCTAAGCCTCCTTGCAGGATGGCATTCCTGGGGCAAGGGGAGCAAATGTCTACTAGCGGCTGACATAAAGGGATAGCACACACCCAGAGTGATCTTAGCACCCACCGTGCCTCAGCCTCAGAACTGAACTGGTGCTCGTTAGGCCACGTACCCCTGTCCCACCCAGAGTGGGATCATCTTCAGGGCCTTTTAGTAGGGGAAGAGCAGTGTGAGAGCGAGGTGCGCTGTCCAGAGGAGGAGAACTGGGAGACTTGGAGACAGCAGCTTCTGAGTGGGAGGGGAGCCGCACATTCCCAAGTCAGGCCCAGCGAGTCTTTCTAGGGGCCACAGGGACACGTCTGGCCCCAGGAAGACAGCTGGACAAAGCAGCGTTCCTGGCCAGCCCAGCCCACCCGTGGTATTGAGTTAAACTGCAATTTGGACAAAGAAGGGGCCAGTGCCTTCCTGAGCCTAATGCAATCGAACAAGCTGCCGAGCTTCATGGAGAAGCCTGCTTGCCCCCCGATGTGGCCTCTTGCATCCTGCCCAAGTGGCCTTTGTCAGCATATGTCAGTGACCATTCACCTGGCGCCCGTCAGCCCGTATCACCCTGCACATGAACGTGACCGGGCACTGAGCAGGAGGCACCAGGAGTCCCTGCCCACATTGCTTTGTTGCTCCTCCACCCTGGCCTGGTGATATGGCTCAGTTCTGGTTTCTCTGTCTCCCCCAATTTTCTGCCTTTTTAACCACCTTCCTCCCCGCACTCCTCTCTCTACAGCCTCCTTCTGGGCCCCTCCTCTGCAGTCTTCCCTCCTTTGCTCTTTTTACTCTGATTTTTTTCTCTGATTTTCCCTGGGAGGCTGCCCAGGGAGAGATGGGGACCCAGCACTCTCTGAGCACCAGAGGCCCTCTGCAGCACTCTGCTCTACGGTGTCACCTCCACCCCTCAGCCCCGATTTAGAAGCCACTGAGCCACTGAGGCAGTGGACAAAGGAGGGATCAGGGGGGCTTGGGCCAGTGGAGCAAGGAAAGGGCCCCTACCCTGATGCCCCCGGATCAGGAGAGCATGTCCCCCAATCTGATGTCCCCCAATCTGATGTCCCCGCGGTGGCTGGCCCAGAGTCCGACATGAACCAATCAGCTTCTATTTTCAAAAGCGGGGCTTTGACTCAGCTGTGCCTGAGTTTTTCTATTCTAGACTGCTGTTATTGAAACACGGTCAGGAGCAACAGGAGGTAGCCTGTACATGCCACCCTGTGATTGGGTGCCAGGCATTGTGCTAAGTCATCTCTGTGTATTATTAGGCTTCATGTTCAGAACGAGTTTCCCCCACTGTTTCGTGGTATGGGGGTGGGCAGAGTGCGCTGTCCTCCTCCAGTGAGAGGGGTGGTGGGCCTGGAAGTCTGGTTCCTCTGACCATTGGCCCCAAGCTCCAACACCCTGCACATGGTGCCATAGAAACAATGAGAAAGAATAAACATGCAGGCCCCAGGATTCATAGGACACTTTTCATCTTTCTGGGGATGTTTGCGGGTTCCTCTCCAGGACTCTCAGAGCAAGGCTTGTCCCTGGGCGCCACTGTGTGCAGCCTGGCAGAGACTCTTGCCACCTCCCCCACAAATGATGGCTTTATGAATACAACACTTAGCCCCCTAGTTTTAGGAAACACTACCAACAGGATGTGTTCGTTACTCTCACTGTGCACCCAGCACTAGTCACGCATGGCTTTGTAGACAGCATGTCCCCATTCAACTGGCGTGGAACCTGAGGGTCAGCTGAAGGGTCATGCCCTGTAGGAAAGGGTCCCAGATTCAATCCAGGGCCGCAGAAGCCCAGGGCCTCCTGAGGATCCTACCCTCACTTCTGGCTGCACCCTGGCAGGTGCCTCTGCAGCATCTCCGGGCTCCTCTCTCCCCTTCACAGTGTGCGTCCTCATTGCAATTAATTAGTTAAGTGGGCAATTAGTTGTCCATCTTCCCCAGCAAAACGGGAGCCCCCAAGGCCCATGCCTGTTGTCCTTGGACCCTCATGGTGTCCCCAGAGCCCCGCACCCAGTGAGTGGTCAGTGAATGTCTCCGGGAAGAATGAATGAAGGGGGAGATGGAATGAATGAATGAATGAATGAATGAGCGGTACAGCCCAGGACGGGGGAAGAATTACCAAGCCTTTCACCGAGCTGCTGACAACCCTTTCCCAACCTGAGCATCCTGGTGCCCCCACCCTGGCCACCCCCACCGGGTCCCGGCTCAGGAGGGCCAGCGCGGGCGGGGGGCCGTGGGGGCTACGCGGCATCCTGCATGAAGCCCCAGGAGGGTCTTTGTCTGTGCCTCGTGTCTGTGTTGAGCCGTCACCCCCCCACCCCTCCCAGACCCATTATGAAAGGGAAAAGCGCTCCCAAAAAAGTTGAACCTGTCACAGTGATGGATAACCTAAATGGACTCTCCCCGCTCGCGAACAGATGTCGCCGCTGAACCCTGTCAGAAATAATTAAACACCTCTCACGTGGAAAAGCAGCAGGCAGGGGCGGGCGGCCCGCTCCTTGTGCCGGTGGACGCCGGGCGAGCTGGCTTCCTGCACCTCGGCCCGCCCTCTAGGGGACCAACCCCGGCCACCAGGGGCCACCCAGAGCCGGCCACCTGCGGCACCACGCGGGCGGAGGTGAGGAAGCACCCCGTGGGCGGCCGGCGTTGTCAGCCGCAGGGCTGCCCGGGGCTCCCGCGCCCGTTCTGGTCTGTGCCGCCAGCCACCGGCACGGATGGCCATGTCCCAGAGACTGGGTAGGCGAAGAGGCTCTCTGGGCCTCAGTTTCCTCCTCTGGAAGTGAGCGCTAGCACAGTTCTTAAGGGCGTCCTCCAACCTAAGGCCTCGTGATCCCAGGGTTCACTGATCAAGGAGCCGTGTGGGAGGGGGCTTGGTGGCTCCCAGAGGTAGCAGATCCCCAACCCGGAGGGAGCTGTCAGGGGAAACGGCTGGGACCTTTTCCCTCAAGCTCCCATTTGGGGGACAGGATGTGAGCTCACCGCCTCCTGTCCCTGAGTGAAGGCACTGCTGGGCTTGCAGCCGGCACCCTCTGTACCCAGTGGCAACAGGGCTCGTGCCCTTCGCGATGTGCCCGGGGGATGGGGGGGCAGCCAGCGGGGAGGGACTCCATGAGCTATGTCTGGGTGTGCATGTGACTCGGGCAACCCTGCCACTCCCTGCCTGTCACGTGGCTTTACCCATCCAAGACCCCGTTCCCTCTTCTGAAGATGAGGGTGGCAGAAGGATTCGATGTATACATGCAACAGGGCACCTGGACTCTATTAAGGTGCCAATAAATGGTATCTGCCCTGGGGAAGGTCCTGGTGGTCATTCATTCACTCACTCATTCATTCACAAATCTTGTCGAGCATCTTTGCACCAGACCGGGTTCTCAGTCCCTCCTGAATTCACAAGTGCTCTGTGCTGCTGGCCGTGCTCGGTTTCCCACACTGGCTGCTGGTGACTGGCAAGAGGAGAAGTGAGTAGATGGACAGAGGGGTGCACAGCTAGATGGGGAGGTTTGGAGCAGCTCCACTCCCTGGTGTCCAGGGTTCAAAGCCTGAAGTGGTGGGGAGACCCCAACCTCAGCCGGCAGCTGTGAGCTGGGGACTGGGGGGCAACGTGAGTAACCATACCCCCATCAACATCATCCTGGATCATCCTGGTACTGGCTGGCCCACCCTGCTCACCTGCCTTTCTGCAGAAACCTGCTCGGGTTTTCCAGGCAGGGCCCGGAATCCAGGCTTGCCTGTTGGGAGGGGGGATTATTAATAGTGCTATCTTCTGCTCTCAAGAGTGACCTAGTCTGAACCCCCACATCGTGTGGCCACCTGATATTAAGCCAGGAAAAGCAGACGGTTTATCCTTCTTTACAAAGATTGCCAGTGATAATAGCCCAGAGACAGATATCCGGGGGGAGTGCTCCCAAGTATTTATGGCTACACCCCCACAACCGTGTCAGCCTGGACGTGCCAGTAGAGGCAGCCTCCGTATGACTTGAAGGATCCTATACTGACATCGCATAGATAACATATAATCCTGTGAAATAGTATACAGCCACTGAAAATAATTTTTATAGTCCCCTTATTGACATGTTCCTAACACATTACTGGGGAAAGAACGTGTGCTGTGTGGTGCCATTGGCATGGAGGTCCACACACCTGCACAGGTGTCTGTCCAGAGGGAGGGGTCGCCAGGTGGCAGCAGCAGTGACCTCTGGGGTGGGGTGAGGTTGAGTTTTACTTTCTCTGCTTCTCTTTTCTGCATCGTTTGAGTTTTTACAGTGAGTACATGACTTTTACAAAACCAATAAGGCTATATTTAAAAAAAAAACAAATAAAAATAAAAAAATAAAAAAAAAACAGATTTGAAAGGTGGGGATGCTATGTCCTTCCTCCAGTGCTCGTCCCAGGGCTCAAGACCCCTTCCGCCCAGTCCCTCCTGAACTCACAAGCGCTCTGCGCTGCTGGCCATGCTCGGTTTCCACCCTGGGTTTCCGTCAGGCGCCGAGATCAGAGGCCAGTGCTCTCCCCCAGCAGTGAAGGCAGCTGGCTCCCTGAGTCTGGTTCTCCTTGGCCAAGTCTATGCTATAATTGGAGATCCCCAGCCC